ACAGAGGTCCCTGCCAACCCCTACTATTCTGTGATTCCGTGAATTGGGAGCGGGTGTTTTAATGAGGAGTCTGGATCAGGGATGATGGTTTAGCGATGCTGTTTTCTTTCTTTTTTTACCTTCTCAAGCGTGGCGGCTTTCAGAGGGCAAACAGCACGGAAAACTTGTGGGCTTTTATAGAAAAATGAGTAATGCTAATGAGACGCTTCTTCCTATATCTGCTAATGAGGAATGTGCCTCAGGCTCGTGCTTAATTAGAGCGTGCTGTCTCGAGCAATCTTCACAAGAGCTGCTGGCAAAGGCGGGAGGAGGTTGTTTATAGAAACCCGCTCCAAGTGAGTCATCCTCCGCGGCCTAAAACGCGTCTCCCTCCTCGCGCGGAGCCGAGGTGTTGCACGGCGGAGGGGCTGAGCCCAGGGACCAGCACCAAAAACCCAGCGTCCCATGATCGCTAGAACCCCGTCCTGTAATCCCCGGGGTGAGCTGCAGCTTAAAACCACTTTGGGTCCTGATCCTCGTTAGGAGGCTGCTGGGCAACCTCTCCGCTTTGGGTGGGAACCGTCGAATTTCCAGCTCGCTGTCATTCCCCTTTTAGCTCGATGTCATTCCCATTTTATTTTTCCTCAAAGCAGCATTGATCTTTCGTTTAAACAGCTCTTCCCCCGCCTTGCTGCTCCTCTTCTGATGTATTTCTGTCTGATGTATTTATAGGTGGCAGCGTTATCCCTTCCCAGCCGTTGTTTTGCTTCTCCGAGGCAGGCGCGCCTTGCTGCTCCTCGCAGTTTCCCCTGCGCTTGCTCCCTGCTCGTCCCAGCCGAGTTTCGGCTGGAGCTTGTCGGCTTCAAGCACGGGAGCCCTAAGCTTCCCAGCCCCTCACCCTTGCGACCAACCAGCAGAAATAGTGTTGCATTTTAATATTTTAAACTGTTTTCCTAGTGGAAATACGGCGTGAAGCTGCAGAGCGGCTTTTTGGCCGGGATGCGGTGCCCGTTAGTGAAAACAAATTGGTTTCCCTGAAGGTCTGATGCCTCCTTTCCTGCCAGCCCAGCTCTCACTGGGTCATTTCCATGTGTCCTGGTGCTTTTTTTTGCCACTGGGCACAGGCTGAAGTCGAACCAGGGTGGGCATCTCCCGTAATCGCTGCATGGTCCTTCATCACCCTTGTGAGAGCAGCTGAGTCTTGGAAAAATGCAGTAGTCGAGGAGCAAGTGGCAGAGTCCTAGGAATGTCCCGATGACAGAGCGAGGAAGCTTCGAGGCTGACTTCTCGCTGTTCTTGGCTGCTTTTTACATGTTTTGGAGGCTGAAAATGGATGCAGAGAGGGCAGCTGCCTCCAGCTGCAGGCAGACATGAGCGCTGTGTCCCCATACAGGAATGAGGACAGAGGCAGGCAGGGCTCGCTGTGCCCTCGGGGCAGGGAGCCCAACCACGGCTGGCTGGGTGGGCTGGCAGTGCCCGAGGCCTCGGCAGCTTCGAACAAGGAGCGCTGCCGAAGTGGTCCAGTTTGGTTGCCTGATGGCAGCGTGCCCTGGGTGCCAAGAGGCCAATGGGATCCTGGGGTGCATGAGGAGGAGTGTGGGCAGCAGGGCGAGGGAGGTTCTCCTCCCCCTCTGCTCTGCCCTGGGGAGACCCCATCTGCAGTGCTGTGTCCAGTGCTGGGCTCCCCACTTCAAGAAAGATGAGGAGCTACTGGAGAGAGTCCAGCGCAGGGCTACGAGGATGAGGAGGGGACTGGAGCATCTCTCCTGCGAGGAGAGGCTGAGGGAGCTGGGCTTGTTCAGCCTGGAGAAGAGAAGGCTGAGAGGGGACCTTAGAAATGCCTATAAATATCTGCAGGTTGGGTGTCAGGAGGACCGGGCCAGACTCTGTTCAGTGGTGCCCAGTGACAGGACAAGGGGCAACGGGCACAAACTG